TTGACCTTCTTGAGTGTTGTTGGAGCTGCTCCCATCCAGGTGAGTGGGGAGTATTCCATCACACTGCTGACTTGTGCCTTGTCGATGGTGGACAGGCTTTGGGGAGTCAGGAGGGGAGTTGCGCGCTGCAATATTCCAAGCCTGCTCTTATAGCCACTGTGTTTATGTGGCGAGTCCAGTTGAGTTTCTGAAAAATGGTAACCCCCCAGGGTGTTGATAGTGGGAGAATTCAGTGATGGTAACACCATTGAGTGTCAAGGGGGTTTGATTCTCTCTCTTGTTGGAAATGGTCATTGCCTGGCATTTGCATGTGACGTGAATGCTACTTACCACAGCTGGAGTATTGTGAGCAATTCAAAACACCTTAACAAGGTCATTTCTCCAGGACAGAGAGCAGTGTAGATTCTGTAAATTGTTATGTAGACTCCAAGGATTAAATTAGAAGGGCAACTGACAAAAAGTCACCAACTTACAACCTCATCTTTGTTTCTCTCTCCCCAGATGCTGCCCGATCTGCAGAATTTCTCCAGCATTCTTGGTTTTATTATACAAACTACATAAAATGAGTTATGTTTCTAGCAATTTAGAACATTAAGCATTGAATTGATGAAACGTGTCTGTCTGTTACTGTGTGTCTGTGTTTGTGTGTGTGTGTGTCTCTCTGTTACTGTGTGCATGTCTCTGTAACTGTGCGTATGCGTGTGTGTCTGTTACTCTGTGTGTGTGTCTGAGTGTGTGTCTGTTACTGTGTGCATGTCTCTGTAACTGTGTGTATGCGTGTGTGTCTCTGGTACTGTGGGTGTGTGTCTCTATTACTGTGTATGTGTGTGCGTGTGTGTGTGTGTGTCTGAGTGTGGTCTGTGGTACTGCGTGTATGTATCTGTTATTATGTGTGTGTCTCTGCAACTGTGTGTGTGTCTCTGTTACTGTGTGTGTGTGTGTGTGTGTGTGTGTATCTCTGCAACTGTGCATATGTGCATGTTTATCTCTGTTACTGTGTGGGTGTGTGCCTGAGTGTGTCTCTGCAACTGTGTGTATGTCTCTGCAACTGTGTGTGTCTCTGTTACTCTGTGTGTGTGTGTGTATCTGACTGTGTTTCTGTTACTGTGTATATGTCTCTGTTACTGTATGTGTATCTGCAACTGGGCATGTGTTTATCTCTGTTACTGTGTGAGTGTGAGTGTCTGAGTGTGTCTCTGTTACTGTGTGTGTCTGTGTGCATGTGTATGTGTGTCTCTGTAACTGTGTGTGTGTGACTCTGTAACTGTGCATGCGTGTGTTTGTGTCTCTGTAACTGTGTGTATGTGCCTGGTGTGTTTCTGTTACTGTGTGTCTTTATTACTGTCTGTGTGTGTCTGAGTGTCTCTCTGTTACTGTGTGCATGTGCGCGTGTGTGTCTCTATTGTGTGTGCGTGTGTCTGCTACTGTGTGTGTATCTGTTACTGTGTGCATGTCTCTGCAACTGTGTGCATGTGTGTGTGTCTGTTACTCTGTATGTGTGTCTGAGTGTGTGTCTGTTACTGTGTGCATGACTCTGTAACTGTGTGTGTGCATGTGTTTTCCTGTAACTGTATGCATGCATGTGTGTCTCTGTTACTGTGGGTGTGTGTCTCTATTACTGTGTATGTCTGGGTGTGTCTGTGTTACTGTGTGTATGTGTCTGTCTCTGCAACTGTGTGTGTGTCTCTGTTACTCTGTGTGTGTGTGTGTGTGTCTCTGTTACTGTGTGCGTATCTCTGCAACTGTGCATGTGCACGTGTTTATCTCTGTTACTGTGTGGGTGTGTGTCTGAGTGTGTCTCTGCTACTGTGTGTATGTGTCTGTTATTATGTTTGTGTCTCTGCAACTGTATGTCTGTGCAACTGTGTGTGTGTGTGTGTGTGTGTGTGTGTCTGACTGTGTGTCTGACTGTGTCTCTCTTACTGTGCGTGTATCTCGGCAACTGTGCATGTGTTTATCTCTGTTACTGAATGGGTGTTTCTGTTATTGTGTGTGTGTCTGTTACTGTGTGCGAGTCTTTGTTAATATATGCGTGGGTGTGTCTGTTATTATGTGTGTGTATCTGAGTGTCTCTCTGTTACTCTGTGTGCATGTGTGTCTCTGTAAGTGTGAGTGTGTCTGAGTGTGTCTCCTACTGTGTGTGTGTCTGTTACTGTGTGCATATCTGTTACTGTGTGCGTGTCTATAACTGTGTGCGTGCATGTTGTGACTGTTACTCTGTGTGTGTCTGTTACTGTGTGCATGTTTCTGTGAGTGTGTGCATGTGTGTGTCTCTGTAACTGTGTTTGTGTGACTCTGAGAATGCATTGTGTTTGTGTCTCTGTAACTGTGTATGTGTCTGTGTCTCTGTTACTGTGTGCTTGTGTGTCTCTGTTACTATGTGTGTGTCTCTATTATTGTCTGTGTGTGTCTGGGTGTCTCTCTGTTACTATGTGCATGTGCGCATATGTGTCTCTTTATTGTGTATGTGCCCGTGTCTCTGTTGTTGTGTGCACGTATGAGTCCCTCTTATTGTATGCGTGTCTCTCTTTTACTGTGTGTATGCATGTCTGAGCGTGTGTCTCTTACTGTGTGTCTCTGTTACTGTATGTGCATGTGTGTCTGTTACTCTGTGTGTGTGCGTGTGAGTGTATGTTTGTCTGTTACAGTGTGTGCATGTGTGTGTCTCTGTTACCATATATGTGCATCTGTGTGTGTCTCTGTTACTCTATGTGTGTGTGTGTCTGAGTGCCTCTCTCTTACTGTGTGTGCCTCTGTTACTCTGTCTGAGTGTCTCTCCGCTATTCTGTATGTATGTGTCTGTAAGTCTGTGTGTCTGAGTGTCTCTCTGTTACTGTCAATGTGTGTGTCTCTGTTACTGTGTGCTTGTGTGACTCTGTAACTATGTGTGTGCGTGTGTACGTGTCTGTTATATGTGTGTGTCTGAATGTCTCTCTGTTACTGTGTGTACTGTGTGTCTCTGTTACTCTGTGTGTGTGTCTGAGTGTCTCTGTCACTCTGTGTGTGCATGTGTGTCTCTATAACTGTGTGTGTGTGTGTCTCTGAGTGTCCCTCTGTTACTGTGTGTGTCTCTGTTACTCTGTCTGAGTGTCTCTGAGTGTCTCTCTGTACATGTGTCTGAGTCTGTCTCTGTGTGCTTGCGTGTCTCTGTTACTGTGTATATCTCTAGTATTGTCTGTGTGTGTCTGAGTGTCTCTCTGTTACTGTGTGTGTGTGTCTCTGTTGCTCTGTGTGTGTGTGTATGTTTGTCTCTGTTATAGTGGCTGCATGTGTGTGTCTCTGTTACCATATATATGTATCTGCATGTGTCACTGTGTGCGTGTATGTTTAGGTGTCCATCACTATGAGTATGTCTGAGTGTGTCTCTGGTACTGTGTGTGTGCATGTGTGTCTGTAATTCTGTGAGTGTGTGTGCATGTGTGTGTGTGTCGGAGTGTCTCTCTGTTACTCTGTGTGTCTGTGTGTGTAAGTCTCTGTGTGTCTGTGTGTCTCTGTTACTGTGAATGTGTATGTCTGTTACTGTGTGTGTGTATGTGTGCGTGTGTGTATGGCTCCGTTACTGTGCGTCCCTGTTACTGTGTATGTGCGTGTGTGTTTTTTTATTCCTTCACGGGATGAAGGCGTCGCTGACCAGGCAGCATTTATTGCCCATTCCTAATTGCCCGGAGGGCAGTTAAGAGTCAACCACATTGCTGTGGGTCTGGAGTCACATGTAGGCCAGACCAGGTAAGGATAGCAGTTTCCTTCCCTAAAGGACATTAGTGAACCAGATGGGTTTTTCCTGACAATCAACAATGGATTCATGGTCATTATTGCACCCCTAATTCCAGGCATTTATTGAATTCAAATACCACCATCTGCCATGGTGGGATTCAAACCCAGATCCCCAGAACGTTGTCTGGTTCTCTGGATTAACAGTCCAGCGATAATACCACTAGGCCATTGCCTCTCCATATTCATGCTGTGCCTCTGTTACCATGCATGTGTCTCTGTTAGTGTGTGTGTGTGTGTGTGCGCGCGCGTGTGTGTGTCTCTGTGTCTCTGTTACACTGTGTGTGTGTGTCTCAGTGTGTCTGTGTTACTGTGACTGTACCTGAGTGTCTCTGTTACTCCGTGGATGCGAGTGTGTCTCTGTAACTGTGTACGTGTCTGAATGTCTCTGTTACTGTGTGTGCATGTGTGACTCTAATTGTGGGTGAGTCTCTGTTACTGTGTGTGCGTGTGTGTGTGTCTGTTACTGTGTGCGTGTTATTACTGTGTGCGTATATCTATAACTGTGTGCGTGCACGTGTGTGTCCGTTACTGTGTGTGTGTCTGCTACTGTGTGCATGTCTCTGTAACTATGTGTGTGCGTGTGTGTATGTGTCTGTAACTGTGTGCGCGTGTGTCTCTGTTACTGTGTTTGCATCTCTATTACTATGTACGTGCATGCGTGTGTATCCTAGTGTGTCTTTGTTACTGCGTGTATGTGTCTGTTACTGTGTGCATGTCTCTGCAATTGTGTGTGTACGTGTGTGTTTGTCTCTGTCACTATGTGTGTGTCTGTTACTGTGTGCGTGTCTGTTATTCTGTGTGTCTCTGTTAATCTGGGTGTGTGCGTGTATGTCTGTGTATGTGTGCCTGTACCACTGTGTGTATGTTTACATGTCTCTATGTTACTCTGTGTATGTGTCTGAGTGTTTCTTTGTTAGCCAACGTTTGTGTGTGTCTTTATGTTACTCTGTGTGCATCTCTCTGTTATTCTAAGTACATGCGTGTGTGGGGAATTCTTTGTTGCTTTGTCTGTGTGTGTGTGCGCCTCCCTGGATTGAGGATTCAGATTATCACCATAATCTCCTAGCGCGGCAGAGCAGATTTGATTGGTTGAATGGCCTGCTTCTGCTCCTCTGTCTGTCGGCCTTGTTGCACTGCTTGTCTGTGATTGAGTCTATGATCTTGACCAACACTAATCGCCCCCAATTTTGCCCCCCAGTGAAACCCATTCAAATGAGAGCGCTGACCTGCTGGGCTGTTCTCAATGCAGAGGAGGACCAGCAGGAAGTAGACGAAGAACATCTCTCCAGCTGTTAATGGTCTGTGAGGCGCCACATTGTAGGTCGTTAGAGGAGGAGGGGACCAGAACTAGAGCAGGACAAGAAAAAGTAACATAATCCTAAAGAGACATCTCAGTAGATGGGTGAGAGGGATCATTAGTTAGAAAGAACCAACACAGAGGACCTGTCACTGTGATTTCACCTCCACACCCATTCCACACGATCACCTCATAATCACCAGTCAGTATTAAATTCATCATCCCACCAATCAGGGCACAATGTGACCACTGCACCAGGTCTGATAGGTCAATGACCATTGCTACCATCACAAAAGACCGCAGCTGGACAACCAATGGCGATTGAACATACAATCGTACAGCAGGGAAACAGACCCTTTGGTCCAACTCGTCCATGCCGACCAAATATCCTAAATGAATCCTTTCCCATTTACCAGCATTTGGCCCACATCCCTCTAAACTCTTCCCATTCACGTACCCATCCATATGCCCTTAACATTTCCTCTGGTAGCTTGTTCCATACATGCACCACACATTGCGTGAAAACGGTTCTGCTTAGGTCCTTTTTATATCTTTCCACTCTCACCTTAAACGTATGCCCTCTAGTTTTGGGCTCCCCTACCCTGGGAAAAAGACCTCGGCTATTCACCCTATCCATTCCCCATACAGATTGGATCAACTGGATAACTACTGGATCATGGAACCTCCTGTGTTGTAGACCACAGGGACAGGTCATGTCGAAAGGTGCACAGCCTGTTGCATCATTTCAGTCCATTTCCAAACATCTAGTCCAGAAAATTGCTGACCCATGCTCGGTGCATTATTTGACACTGGAGGAAACTGACTCAAACTGGGGTACGCTGACTCACACTGTAGTACACCGATTCACACTGTGGTACAGTGACCCACACTGGGATACATTGATTTACGCTGGTCACACTAGGGTACAATGGTTCATGCTATGGTACAGTGACACACACGGGGGTACACTGGCTCACACTGTGGTACACTGATTCACACTGTGGTACACTGACTCACACTGGAGTACAGAGATTCACAGTGTGGTACACTGACCCACAGTAGAGCACAATGGTTCACACTGTGGACTCTGACACACACTGGGGTACACTGACTATACTGGGGAGTACTAATCCACACTAGGGTACACTGACCCACACTGGCAATCACTGACTCAAACTGGAGTATACCGGCTTACACTGGGGAACATTGGCTTTTACGGTGGAAGACTGACCCACACTGGGGAACACTGAGTCACACTGGGGTACACTGATCCACACTGGGGTACACAGATTCACAGTGTGGTACACTGACACACACTGGAGTATACTGACTCACTCTAGGGTACAATGGTTCACACTGCTGTACACTGACCCACACTATGGTACACTGATTCACACTGAGGTACACATATTCACAAGTGTGGTACACTGACCGACACAAGAGTACAATGGTTCACACTGTGGCACACTGACCCACACTGGGATACACTGGTCCACACTGACCCACATAGGGTACACTTACTCATTCGGTGGTAAAGTGACTCACACTTGGGTACAATGGTTCACACAGGGGGATACACTGACCCATACTATGGTACATTGACTCACACGCATGTACGCTGACCCACACTGGGGTACGCTGACCCACACTGGGGTGCTGTGGCTCTCATTGGCATACACTGACCTGCATTGGGTTACACCAACCCAAACTGGGTAGTACTAACCCACGCTAAGGTACACTGATCCACACTGGCATACACTGGCTCAACCTGAGTATACGGGCTCACACTGACTCTCCTCGGAGTTGACGGACTCACACTGGGGTACACTAACTCACACTGGGGAACACAGACGCACACTGGGGTACATTGACCAGCACTGTGGTATGCTGGTTCACACTGGGGTAGACTGGATAAAACTGGGGTACACTAACCCACACTTCAGGACACTGACCCATACTGTGGTACACTGACTCAGACTGTGGTACACTGACCCACACTGAGGTACACTGGTCCACACTGACTCACACTGGGGTATACTGGTCCACACTGACTCACACTGGGGTATACTGACTCACTGTGTGGTACACTGATCCACACCTGGCCACACTGATTTACACTATTGTATTCTGACCCACACTAGGGAACACTGACTAACACTATGGTACACTGATTCACACTGGGGTACACTGACCCACACTGGTGTTCTGTGGCTCTCACTGGCATGCACTGACCTGCACTGGGGTACACTGAACAACACTGGGGTACACTGACTCACGCTGGGGATTACTAACCTACGCTAGGGTACACTGACATACACTGGCTCAAACTGGAGTATACCGTCTCACACTGGGGTACATTGGCTCTCACCAGAGTTGACTGACTCACACTGGGGCACATTGGCTTTTATGGGGAAAGACTGACCCACGCTGGGGCGCTCTGGTTCTTACTGGCACAGACTGACCTGCACTGGGGTACACTGGCTCACACTGGAGTATACTAACCCATTGTGGGAAATACTGGCTTACTCTGGGGTATATTGGCTCACACTTGGGTGCACTGACCCACAGTGGGGTACACTGACCCACACTGCAGTACACTGATGCACACTAGGCAACACTGACTCACAACGGGGTACACTAACCCACCCTGCAGTACACTGATCCACTCTGGGGTACACTCACTCACACTATGGTATACTGACCCACACTGGGGTACACTAGTTCACATGGACTCATACTGGGGTACACTGACTCAGACTGGGGTACACTGATTCACACTGTGGTACACTGACCCACACTGGGGTACAGATTCACATTGTGGTTCACTGACCAACACTAGAGCACAATGGTTCACACTGTGGACACTAACCCACACTGGGATACACTGACCTAAAATGGCATACACTGGCTCAAACTGGAGTATACCGGCTTATACTGGGGTACACTGGCTCTCACCGGAGTTGACTGACTCACACTGGAGGACACTGACTCACACTGGGGTACATTGGCTTTTACGGGGGAAGATTGACCCACACTGGGGAACACTGACCCACACTGGGGAACACTGACTCATACTGGGGTACACTGACTCATACTGGGGAGTACTAACCCACACTGGGGTACACTGACCCACACTGGGGAACACTGACTCATACTGGGGTACACTGACTCATACTGGGGAGCACTAACCCACTCTAGGGTACACTGACCCACATTGTGGTATGCTGGATTACATATGTGGTACACTAGCTCACACTGGTGTACACTGATCCACACTGGGTGCTCTGACTCTCACTGGCATGGACTGACCTGCACTGGGGCACACAGGCTTACATTGGAGTATACAAATCCACAGTGGGGGATACTGGCTTAGACTGGGGTATATTGGCTCACATTGGGATGCACTGACGCACACTTGGATGCTCTTACCTACAGTGGGCTACACTGGTTCACCCTGAGATACCTCACCCTGAGGGCCTCAAACTTGGGAACACAGTCACATACTGGGGCACACTGACTCACATTGTAGTACACTGACCCACACTGGGGTACAGAGATTCACAGTGTGGTACACTGACTCACACTAGAGCACAATGGTTCACACTGTGGACACTGACATATACTGGGGTACACTGACACACACTGGGGTACACTGATTCACACAGTGGTACACTGACTCACACTATGGTACAATGACTCACACTGGGATTTTTTTCTCTATTCATTTATGGAATATGGGCATTGCTGGCTGGCCAGCATTTCTTGCCCCATTCTTAGTTGCCCTTGAGAAGGTGGTGGTGAGCTGCTTTCTTGAACTGCTGCAGTCCTCCTGCTGTGGATTGACCCACAATGCTATGGGGAGGGAATTCCAGGATTTTGACACAGCGACGATGAAGGAATGGCAATATATTTCCAAGTCAGGATGGTGAGTGGCTTGGAGGGGAACCTGAAGGTGGTGGTGTTTCCATATGTCAGATGCCCTTGTCATTCTAGTTGGAAGTGGTCCTGAGTTTGGAAGGTGCTCTCTGAGGATCTTTGGTGAGTTTCTGCAGTGCATCTTGTAGATAGTACACACTGCTGCTACTGAGCGTCAGTGGTGGAGGGAGTGGATGCTTGTGGATATAGTGCTAATCAAGCGGGCTGCTTTGTCCTGGATGGTGTCAAGCTTCTTGAGTGTTGTTGGGGCTGTCCCCATCCAGGCTAGTGGGGAGTGTTCCATCACACTCCTGACTTGTGCCTTGTAGATGGCGGACAGGCTTTGAGGAGTCAGGAGGGGAGTGACTCGCTGCAGTACTCCTAGCTTCTGGCCTGATCTTGCAGCCACTGTGTTTATGTGGTGAGTCCAGTAGAGTTTGTGGTCAATGATAACACCCAGGATGTTGATAGTGGAGGATTTAGTGATGGTAACACCATTAATGTAAAGAGACGGTGGTTAGATTGTCTCTTATTGGCATTTGTGTGGCACGAATGTCACTTGCCACTTGTCAGCCCAAGCCTAGATATTGTCTAGTTCTTGTTGCATTTGAACATGGACTGTTTCTGTATCTGAGGAGTCACAAATGGTGCTGAACATTGTGCAATCATCGGCGAACATCCCCACCTCTGATCTTATGATAGAGGGAAGGTCATTGATGAAGCAACTGAAGATGTTTGGGCCTAGGACACTATCCTGACGAACTCCTGCAGCTGAGATGATTGACCGCCAACAACCACTATGTGTCTGGTATGACTCTAACCATTGGAGAGTTTGCCCCCTGATACCCACTTATTCCAGTTTTGCTAGGGCTCCTTGAAGCAGCCCTTGATATCAAGGGCTGTCACCTTCACCTCCCCTCTGGAATTCAGCTCTTTTGTCCATGTTTGAACCAAGGCTGTAATGAGATCAGGAGCTGAATGGTCCTGACAGAACCCAAACTGGGCGTCACTGAGCAGATTATTTCTGAGCAGTTGTTGCTTGATAGCACTGTTGATGACACCTTCCATCACTTTACTGATGATTGAGAGTAGACTGATAGGGTGGTAATTGGCTGGATTGGATTTATCCTGCCTTCTGTGTACAGGACATATTTGGTTAATTTTCCACATTGTCTGGTAGGTACCAGTGTTGTAACTGTACTAGAACAGCTTGGATAAGGGAGCGGCATGTTCTGGGGCACAAGTCTTCAGTACTATTGCTTTGCTGAAATGTTGTTAGGGCCTGTAGCCTTTGCAGTATCCAAAGTCTCCAACCATTTCTTGATATCACGTGGAATGAATCGAATTGGCTGAAGACTGGTATCTGTAATGCTGGGGACCACTGGAGGAGGCTGAGATGCATCGTCCACTCGGCACTTCTGGCTGAAGATTGCTGCAACTGCTTCAGCCTTATCTTTTGCACTGATGTGCTGGGCTCTTCCATCATTGAGGATGGGAATATTTGTGGAGCGTTCTCTTCCAGTGAGTTGTTTAATTTTCCACCATCATTCACGATTGTATGTGGCAGGACTACAGAGCTTAGATCTGATCCATTGGATGTGGGATCACTTCGCTCTGTCTATCACTTGCTGCTTTCACTGTTTGGTGTGCATGTGGTCCTGTTTGGTGGCTTTACCAGGTTGATACCTCATCTTCAGGTATGCCTGGTGCTGCTCCTGGCCTGCCCTCCTGCAATCTCCATTGAACCAGGGTTGATCCCCTGGCTTGATGGTAATGGTTGAGAGGGGGATATGCCAGGCCATGAGGTTACAGATTGTGCTGGAGTACAATTCTGCTGCTATTGATGGCCCACAGCGCCTCATGGATGCCCAGTCTTGAGTTGCTAGATCTGTGTGAAGTCTGTCCCATTTAGCACGGTGATAGTGCCACACAACACGATGAAAGTTATTCTCAATGTGAAGGTGGGACTTCGTCTCCACAAGGACTGTGCAATGGTCACTCTTACTGATACTGTCATGGACAGATGCAACTGCAACTAGCAGATTGGTAAGGATGAGGTCTTGTTGGTTCCCTCACCACCTGCCGCAGACCCAGTCTAGCAGCTATGTCCTTTAGGACCCAACCAGCTCGATCAGTAGTACTGCTTCTGAGCCACTCTTGGTGGTGGACGTTGAAATGCCCCACCCAGAGTATATTTTATGTCTTACTATCCTCAGTGCTTCCTTTAAGCGTTGCTCAACATTGAGGAGTACAGATTCATCAGCTGTGGGAGGACGGTATGTGGTAATCAGCAGGAGGTTTCCTTGCCCATGTTGAACCTGAAGCCATAAGACTTCATGGAGTCCGGAGTCAATGTTGAGGACTCCTAGAGCAACTCCCTCCCGACTGTATACCACTGTGCCGCCCCCTCTGCTGGGTCTGTTCTGCCGGTGAGACAGGACATATCCAGTGATGGTGATGGTGATGTCTGGGACATTGTCTGTAAGGTATGATTCTGTGAGTATGACTATATCAGGCTGTTGCTTAACTAGTCTGTGAGACAGCTCTCCCAATTTTGGCACTAGCCCCCAGATGTTAGCGAGGAGGACTTTGCAGGATTGACAAGGCTGTTTCTGCCGTTGTCTTTTCTGGTGCTTAGGTCAATGCCAAGTGATCCATCCAGTTTAATTTCTTTGAGACTTTGTATCGATTTGTACAGCTGAGTGGCTTGCTAGGCCATTTCAGAGGGCAACTGAGAGTCAACCACGTGGAATCACATGTAGGCTAGACCAGGTGAGGGGTGGCAGATTTTCTCCCCCAAAGGACATTAGTGAACCAGATGGGATTTTCCGACAATTGGCAATGATTTCACGGTGATCAGTGGATTCTTAATTCCAGACCTTTTTTCCTAATTATTGCAGACAAATTCCACCATCTGCCATGGTGGGATTCAAACCCGGATTCCCAGCACATTAGCTGGGTTTCTGGATTAATAGTCTTGCAAAAATACCACTAGGCCATCGCCTACCCCTGCTCATTCACTATTCACACAGCGGTACACTGACCCACACTAGAGTACAGTGGTTCACATTGTGGTACACTAACACACTGGGGTACACTGATTCACACTGTCGTACACTGACCACACTAGGGCACAATGTTTCACACTGCACTGACCCACATTGGGGTACACTTACTCACACTACGGTACACTGACTCACACTGTGGTACACTGACCCACACTGGGGTACACTGACTCACACTATGGTAGACTGACACACACTGGGGTACACAGATTCACAGTGTGGTACACTGACCCACAATAGAGTACACTGGTTCACACTGTGGTACACTGACACACACTGGGGCACTGACTCACACTGGGGAACAGTGACTCACACTGGGGTACACTGACTCACACTATGGTACACTGACTCACACTGGGGTACACTGACTCACACTGGTGTACACTGACTCACACTGGTGTACACAAACCCACACTGAAGGACACTGACTCACACTCGGATGCACTAACTCACACTGCAGCATGCTGCCCCACACTATGGAACGCTGAGCCACACTGGGGTACACTGACACACAATGGGGTACATTGACTCACAGCAGGGTACACTTACTCACATTATGGTACACTCATCCACACTGGGGTACACTAGTTCACATGGACTCACACTGCGGTACACTGACTCAGACTGTGGTACACTGATTCACACTGTGGTACACTGACCCACACTGGGGTGCACAGATTCCAGTGTGGTCCACCGACCCACACTGGAGTCCACTGATTCACACTGTAGCACAGTGAGCCACACTGCGGTACACTGACACACTGGTGTACACAAACCCACACTGAGGTATACTGATTCACACCGGGGTACACTGACCCACACTGGGGTAGAGAGATTCACAGTGTGGTACACTGACCAATACTAGAGTACACTGGTTCACACTGTGGTACACTGACACACACTAGGATACACTGACTTACACGGGGGTACACTGACACACACTGAGGTACAGAGATTCTCTCTGGTGTACACTGACACACACTAGGGTACACTGGTGTACACTGACATTACGCTGGGGTACACTGATTCACACCATGGTACAGTGAGCTACACTGGGGTACACAGACTCACACTGGTATACACCAACCCACAATGGGGTACACTGATTCACACTGCGGAACACTGACTCACACTGTGGGATACTGAGCCACACTGGGGTACACTGACTCACACTGGGGTACACTGGTCCACAATGACTCACACTGGTGTACAATGACTCACACCGTGGTACAATGACCCACACCTGGGTATACTGACTCACATTATGGTATTCTGACCCACAATAAGGTACAATGGTTCACACTGTAGTACACTGATGCAGACTGAGGTATACTGACCCACACTAGTGTATACTAAGCCACAGTGCAGTACACCTACCAACACTGGGGTACACTGACTCACACTGGGCTATACTGACCCACACAGGGGAGCACTAACCCACACTAGAGTACACTGACCCACACTGACTCACACTGAGGTACACTGAACCACACTGGAGTATACTGGATCACACTGGTGTACACTGGCTCTCACCAGAGTTGCCTGACTCACACTGGAGTACACTGACTCACACCTGGGTACATTGGCTTTTACGGGGGAAGACCGACCCACACTGGGGTACACTGGTTCACACTGGCATACACAAACCAGGACTGCAGTACACTAACCCTCAGTGGGGAATACTGGCTCACACTAGGGTACATTGGCTCACTCTGCAATGCACTGACACACACTGTTGTACACTGACCCACACTAGGGTACACTGACTCACACTGGGGTACACTGGTCCTCACTGACTCACACTATGACACACTGATCGGCTGGTCCACACTGACTCACACTGGGGTACACTGACACACACCGTTGTACACTGACCCACACTGGGGTACACTGACCCACACTAGGGTACACTGACTCACACTGGGGTACACTGGTCCACACTGACTCACACTATGGTACACTGATCCACACTAGGGTACACTGGTCAACACTGACCCACACTGTGGCACATTGGTTCACACTGGGGTACTGTGGGTCTTACTGGCATACACTGATTCACAGTGGGGCATACTGGGGTGCACTGATGCACACTGGGGAATACTGACACACGCTGGTTCACACTGGGGTACGGACACAGTGGCATACACTGACCCACAGTGCAGAACACTGACTCCCACTGGGGTACACTGGCTCTCCCACTGGGGTACACTGGCTCACACTGGGGTACACTGGCTCCCACTGGGGTACACTGGCTCACACTGGGGTACATTGGCTCCCACTGGGGTACACTGGCTCACACTGGGGTACACTGGCTCACACTGGCCTGGTTTATTCTCTCTCAGCACGTTGCACTCTCCGAATTTGCCATGTCACAGTCTGTCTGTGTCAGCGAATGATTTTATTTCAGTTCAGTTCTCCTTCAGTGTCCCTCTGTATTAACATTTACTGTCTGATCCAGCCAACTCTCAGCCTCTGGTTTAATACTGTCAATGATTCAAATAACTTGCAATAATTTAATCCAAAGACTTCTTGCCTCACCATTGGCCTGGCCTGCCTTTAAATCCCATTGTTCTAAAATCTGGACTCTTATCTTCAACTCTGCTTTCTCCCCACAGACCTGCTGAGTTTCTCCAGCAATTTATGAGTCCCATATCTCTCTCTCTCTCTCCATCGATCTGTTTGTCCCTGTCTGTCTATGTGGCCAGTCAGTCTTCTTTCCGTTTGTCTATATATAACCATGGAAATGCCTGTCTGTCTATTTATACGTGACTCAGTCTATTTATAAGTCTATGTGTCTGTCCACCCTCACACACAAGCTTGTGATTGTGTAGATTGCCTGCTACGTTTCAGCACCCAGAGCCACATTCCCCCATTTAAACGCCCAATACCACAGCATCGGTCCTCTCACTCGCTCTTCCTGACAGACTTATCAGTACAGCCTTCTCCTGGGCTACAGGCATCCCCAAAACTTTCAACTATTACAGCGCCAGGTGAGATGCAATAGTCGATGGAGATTGGCGATTGCGATGACAGTCTCCCCGCAGGCGAGGGCTGGGGGTTGAGAGCATAGACACGAGGTGCCGTCACCTTTTGAAACCGGGTGGGGGGGGGGGGGGAAGCAGATTTGAAAGAGAATCCCCCTTCCTCACATCTCCCCTCCTCATCCCCTTCTCCCTGTGTCATCGCTGAGCTTGGGAGAGGACCACCACCACCTCCCCCCACCCCACCACCACCTCTCACATCCCGATTTATCGAGCGGGCTGGGGTTTTTTATTTATTTATCGAGAGGAAAATGTCTGATTTCACGGTCTGATTCGGTTTTGGGAATGTGGAGATGTAGAGAGGGTTGCTAAGCGACTGCATCACGTCATTAGATGCACTGGGCCCTACAGGGGCAGACAGAGACAGCAAGAGAGAGAGGAAATAATTAGGAAAACAGTTTAATTTGACTGTGGACAGATAAAACTCCCGGTTCCTCTGCCGCCTACACTGGGCGTAGATTTGGCAAATTCTGGGGTGGGGTGGAGGAGCGGTGGCAGACAGTATTCCTTTCAGAGAACAAGGCCTCCACCCTAGGAATAATTTTTCTTAACAAAAAAATCTGGGAGTATGAGAGGGAGAACAAAAGAAAATAGCATCGTATTTGTTCTTCCAGCAGTTTTGTCGGTAAGTCGTAAATGTTTGGAGATGTGAGCAGGCAGTGTGAAATGTCTTTTTATTTTCTTAAAAAATAAATGACAAAACTGTGCGAGCTCCCGTCGCTGTCTACAGAGTCTTGCCGTGGGTGAGTTTTGAGCTCTCGGTTCTTTCCCAGCCTCTGAGTTATTGCTGAGATCTTGCCTTCCAGGTTTTATGGGAGTGGTTCATGAGTGAAGGCGGTCATAAGGGGAGAGCCCCTCATCCCACTTCGGAAGAAAGGGAATCCTCGGGGAGCTAGGCTCCTCTCGGTTGCTCGGGAGACAAAGAAGGAGGAGGAGAGACAGAGAGAGAGAGAGAGAGAGAGAGAGAGAGAACGTGGAGGGGGACAAAGAAGGAAGACTGTACAGAGGCCAGGATTATGTATGTGAGTTCCTTACTTTTGTTGCTTGTGGCTCGAGGACTAGCAAGGAGCTGTCCAGCCCCTTGTACCTGTTGGAATAAGGTGTCGGACTGCAGTGATAAGGAATTGGTCACGCCTCCTTTTGGGTTGCCCTTGCACATGACCAATCTCAGTCTGGCTCACAACAAAGTTCTCTCCCTGCCTCTGGGCTACTTCTCCTGCTACACCGAACTCATGGTTCTCGATCTACGCAACAACTCCCTCAGCGACCTACCGGTTGGCCTGTTCCGGCCCTTGGTGAAGCTGACCTACCTGGACCTGAGTTACAACAATCTGAGCCGACTCACCCAGGAACTGCTGAGGCCAGCCCGCAACTTGGCGAGGCTTCTCCTGAGTCACAACCCTGGGTTGTCAGTTATCGCTCCCCGGGCGCTATCCGGCTTGCCGCGCCTCCAGCACCTAGATCTCAGCTTCGACGGCCTCACTGGCATCAGCCAGGACCTCCTGGATGGTCTCCCGGCCACTGTTTCTATCCGGTTGGCCGGTAACCCTTGGCTCTGCGGCTGCTCCATGGAGCCACTCCTGAAATGGGTGACCAGGAACCTCCATCAGTGCAATTCCGGTGAGTCTGTGATTTTGGGGAGGGGGCGGGGGTGATCGGGTATGGTGATCCATGGTGGTTGGCATGATGGGTCACTCAACTGGAGACTCAATGGGTTCAGAGATAGCAGGAACTGCAGATGCTGGAGAATCTGAGACAACAAGGTGTAGAGCTGGATGAACACAGCAGGCCAAGCAGCATCAGAGGAGCAGGAAGGCTGACATTTCGGGCCTAGACCCTTCTTCAGAAATCAAATGGCTCATCCTTCTTGCCGAAGGGGGCAATCTCCCCACGCCGTGGATGAGGCCCCTCTGTCTACGTGCGGTGTTGGGGTTGACCCATTTGCTGCCAAATAGAAGGCTTTGTGAGCTCTTCCACTGTGGCAGGCAGCAAGGAGAAAGCAATGCCCCTCCCCCAGTCAGTCACAATTGATGCACAAGTGCCTGACTCATGGGGGACCTGTTTCAGTAAAAGAACAATGATAGAATGATAGATAACAGGAGCAGTGGCCGGTCTTTCAACCTTGTGAGCCTGCCCCTACATTCGTAGAAATCTGGGGTAGGCCATTCAGCCCTTCGAGCCTGCTCCGCCATTCAAAATGATCATCCAATGCATTCCCTGCTCCCATTTAGTCATAGATTTGTACAGCATGGAAAAAAGCCCTTCCATCCAACTTGACCAAGGAACTGGCACAGGGAAAGTAGAAGAGGGTATAAATCAATTGGGCAATTATAACAAAGCTGTACCAGCAGTGGTGTAGTGGGCTGAATGGCAGCCTTATGATTTCAGTATTTCCATGATCCTACGTTTAAGGTCATCTCTGTTATAGAGTCATTGAGTTCTACAGCATTGAAACAGACCCTTTGGTCCAACTCGTCCATGCTGATCAGATATCCTAAATTAATCTAGTCCCATTTTCTAACATTCGGCCCATATCCCTCTTAACCCTCCTTATTCACATACCCATCCAGATGTCTTTTAAATGTTGTAATTGTAACAGCCTCCAGCACTTCCTTTGGCAGCTGGTTCCATACACACACCACTCTCTGTGTGAAAAAAGTTGCCTCTTAGGTCCCTTTTACATCTTTTCCCTCTCACCTTAAACTTACGCCCTCTAGTTTTGGACTCCCCTAGCCTGGGGAAAAAGAACATTCACCCTATCCATGCCCCTCATGATTTTATAAACCTCTATAAGGTCACTCCACAGCCTCTGACGCTCCAGGGAAAATGGCCCCAGTCTATTTAGCCTCTCCCTGTAGCTCAGGGAAAATAGTCCCAGTCTATTTAGCTTCTCCCTGTAGCTCAAACCCTCCAAACCTGGTGACATCCTTGTAAATTTTTTTCTGAACCCTTTCAATTTTAACAACATCTTTCCATCACTTTATCCTTTGATCCCTTTGGCCCCGATAATGATATCTAATTTCTACAGGAAGGATGTTGTGAATCGATTGGACAGTTTTAACAAAGCTATACCAGCAGAAATGCAGTGGGCTGAATGGCAGCCTTCTGATTTGAGCTTTTCCATGATTCTATGGCTAAGGTCATCTGTATTTTTAAGGTGAGAAAAGACAGATTAAAAAAGGACATGAGAGGCTATTTTCTTACACAGAGAGTGGTTCGTGTGTGGAATGAACTTCCAGTGGAAGTAGTGGATGTGCCTACAGTTACAATATTTAATAGGTATTTAGATAAGTAGATGAATAGGAAAGGATTGGAAGGTAATGCGCCAAACACAAGCAGGTAGGACTAGTTTAGTTTGGGATTATGGTCAGCATGCACTGGTTCGACTAAATGGTCTGTTTCCATGCTGCATGACTCTATGACATTATGAGTTGTATAGCATGGAAACAGACCCTTCAGTCCAACTCATCCACGTTGACCAAATGTCCTAAATTAATCTAGTCCCATTTGCCAGCATTTGACCCATCTCCCTCTAAGCTCTTCCTATTCATATACCCTTCCAGATGCCTTTTAAATGTTGTCATTGTACCAGCCTCCACCACTTCCTCTGGCAGCTCTACATGAAAAAGTTGCCCTTAGTTCTCTTTCATATCTTTCCTCTCTCACCTTAAACCTATGGTCTCTCGTTTTGGACTCCCCCACCCTGGGGAAAAGACCTAGGCTATTCACCCTAGCCATGCCCCTCATGATTTTATAAACCTCTACAAGATCATCCCTCAGCCTCTGACAATCCAGGGAAAATAGCCCCTACCCAATCAGAGATAGTAGGAACTGCAGATGCTGGAGAATCCGAGACAACAAGGTGCAGGGCTGGATGAACACAGCAGGCCAAGCAGCATCACAGGAGCAGAGAGGCTGACGTTTCGGGCCTAGACCCTTCATCAGAAAAGGGGGAGGGGAAGGGGGTTTTGAAATAAATAGGGAGAGAGTGGGAGGCGGATAGAAGAGGGATAGAGGAGAGGATAGGTGGAGAGGAAACAAACAGGTCGAAGAGGCGGGGACGGGGCCAGGAAAGGTGAGTGTAGGTAGGGAGTTAGGAAGGGGATAGGTCAGTCCAGGGAGGACGGACAGGTCAAGGGGGCGGGATGAGGTTGGTCGGTAGGAGATGGAGGTGCGGCTTGAGGTGGGAGGAGGGGATAGGTGGGA